GTGATTCAGGGATGGAAGAGATGCTTTAGCAGATCATTTCCTAACAATTTCCTTGGAGGACTGTGTATCAAAATGGCACTATTGGAAAAGGTAATGACATACCTTTTGTTATGCAATGCTATAAGTGCTATGCATAAAATAAGAAGCGATGTGTAGGCAGTAGCAATTGAATTATTTATGCACTCAAACAGTTGCCTTCAAGTGTAATAAAACTGAGCATGAAATGGGAGGTTCATGCAGGCCTATGAGCAAAACAAAAACAGAAACCCCCAAACCAACCCCACCTCCCAGTGCCCCTGCCCTCCCGGGCCACCCTGCCAGCCCCCACCCCCCACCAAATTTCCTGTGGCCTTAAAACCCTTCTGTTTTGGAGGCCCTACAGGCTGTATACAATCACCTGGTGGCTCATGAAGACCAGAAACACTGTCATAGAAAGAAGCTCTCTGAATATTCTGAATCTCTAAAGCAGAGAAACAGTGAAAACAGGAGGACAGAAGAGCAGATACACAAACACTTCGGTTAGTGTGAAAGACATTCGACATCACAAGCAAACTCTGAAACAGGGCTACAAAAGTAGCTAGGCCAGGGCAGATCCTGTGCAAACATACTGTTTCAAGAATTTGGGCATTATGGACAAAGTTCTCTCTCTTTTTTTTTTTTTGAGACAGGGTCTCCCCTGTAGCCCCAGCTGACCTGGAACTTCCCATGGAGACCAGGCTGGCCTTGAACTCACAGAGATTCGCCTGCCTCTGCCTCCCAAGTGCTGGGATTACAGGTGTGTGCCACCACGCCTGGCTTTGGATAAAGTTCTTTAAAGACTAAATTTAAGCTGACTCAAAAGAATACATTCCCAACTCCAGGTGCGATACTGATGTTAAATGATTACCCCAGGTAAGCATGGGATGACATTTAAGAGTAATAAGGTACTACTTAATTCGTCTTGCAATTAGGAAATCAGGGCAAGACTGCAGTTAAATTAGAGTGCTAAGATAAATATAAACATTAGTGGCTTTTACTCTCAAAAATTCAACCTGCTATGAGACTTTACTTCTAGAACAGATTTTGGAAACATAATTTACTTCAAACACAAATTTCTAAAAGACTGGTAACTACTCAAATTCTGTTGCAGCAAAATGTTAAAATAATTTTAAAACTTAAGAAATTGATTATACCATTACTCATGAGAACGCCCCAAGAGGCACATTTACACCAACACGCGAGCTTTAGTTTTTTGTGGATTTTTTGGTATATAAGGCATGAGAAATGGCATGAGGTCCTGTGCAGCTGGTAGAAAGATCCCCAACATCATCTTTTAATAAAAGTGAGGTGCTATGAATCTCTAGGGCAGGGCTGCCACCAATACATCTCATTCCTTTTGGTTTGGTCTTGAGAGAACTCTGAAACCCTCACACGAACTGGATTTTGCACGGTGTCTTATGTTCAAAGAACTGTGCCTCCTTGGGCAAGCTATACACAGGCATCACATATTCATCCAGTTGTGGTCAACTTAACATTTTTTGTTCTTGCATTTCAGTGGTCACGAAAGAAAATAATTGCATGTATTTCTGGGGCTATTTTCTTTTTCTAGGGCTAAAGTTCCTCTTAGCCCAAGAGATCTCCACATTCTGACAGTAACTATTCACCTTGGCTCCCTCATGTGACTTCTGAGCCTGCCACTGACCTTGTGTATGAACCACAGTCCTCAAATGTAGAAAAATGTGGTTCTGCCTCTGCCTGCCCCGCATCTGAAGAGCAGCACCTGCAATGGCATGTGGCCTGAGATCTGCTGTTACTTTGATTTAACCAGCTGTCCCACCTAGGCTGATGAGTGACAGAACTTCCTGCCAAATAGTAGCATTATCAAGAGAGCAAACACTCAGGATTGTTCCAGAGCAGAAGCTAGCAGAGTCAAATCAAGGGAGGCAGAAAAAACTTCTTAGCCTATTCTGACAAAAGTGGCCACTGGCAGGGAAGGGGCTATATACAGGGCTGCGCAAATGGTGTTGCCTGTGAGGTCAGAACTAACTATATACTAAGAACAGACTAATGGGCTGAAGGGTGCATCAAGGCTATGAGAGTTTCAAACTTCCCTTTATCTATTAAGTGGCTCTCACAAAGATGTAGGTAAGATTCTATCTGGTCCCAGCTGGAAGACCCACTGTCTGATCCTTCACTTGGACCCATCCTTACCTGCCAAATCTTTGATTCTAAAACCCGACTCTTTCCAACTTCTGTGGTTAAAGAAGGATGGAAGGAGGAAGCCCAGGGAACTTGGAGAAAAGACAAAGAAACCCAGTCCTATTTCTGCATGTGTGTCTGCCTAAATTCCTCACTGTATGACAAGCTTGTTGGGGGCAGGAGACAGGCCTTTCATCACTTTCAGATTCATGCGTCAGGAATTTTGGTGGGAAGCACCAAAGTGAACCTGCACATAGGTTAAGTATTGAAGAGGGGTTTCACACGACAATTTGGGTAAGGAACAGAGACAGGAATCTAAAGCAGGTTCACATGTGTGTAAACCCAGGACTTCACCTCTCTGTCAGTTTCTGAGGCTTTCCCCTCAGATAGGGACTTCCCTTCCTCTCCACTCTGCACGCCTTCCAGGTCCATTCTCACCCTGCAATCTTATTCTACATTCTTTGCTTCCAGGGTCTTTCAGTCCAGTCTATCCAGGAAACCACCCACTTTAAGTTTAGACTGAACAAACCTATTGAGATGACCTTGACTCAACAAAATCTAAGCCCACCCCACCCAGGTCAGGCCGCCAGAGCTTCTTCAGGGTTGAGCTTGGCCTCAAACATCACCCCAACCTCATTTCCTGATCTAGCCCTGGTGCACAGCCAGAATGGACACTCCTAAGTGAGTGTTGGCTTCCCACTTCTACCTTACTCCCTTTCCTCCCCAAAGCCAACTTAACTTCTAAAAACCCAACCCCAGATGACCCAGTTTGTTGAAGGTACAACCAGAATATACATGCTCATAAATTAGTGCTGAAAACACTGTGTGAGGCACTTAGTAAGTTAGCTTTCATTGTTTAATTGATAAATCACTATTAGTCTTTAAGGGGAAAAAAAACCCTGTATCCTCCTTCATGACATTTCATTTTAGTACCCTAGGAAGAAGGTAGTGGCTTCCACTACTGCACATCCCTAAACTCTCTCTGTGCCCTGTACATGGCACTAATCACAGATATCTCTGGCATTCAGCAGTTTGTGTATATATCTCCATCTCCTATCTGTGGTCTTGGACCTGGAAAGAGAAGCTGAATGTGACCTACAGTGTCTACCAATCACAAGGGAACTGACCCATCAGGACAGGCAAATATTTATGATAGGGAGCACTGTACAGATGTGTTTTCTCTCTTTTTAGAAACATTTCCTTTCTCTTGCTCTAGGTTCACTTTATCTGATCCCATGCCAACAAGTCTCAACAATACAGTCTAGATCAAGCCAAGCATGGTGGCGCACGCCTTTAATCCCAGCACTCAAGAGGCAGAGGCAGGCGGATCTCTGCGAGTTCAAGGCCAGCCTGGTCTACCTAGTGAGTTGCAGGCCAGCTGGGGCTACAGGGAGACCCTGTCTCAAAAAAGACCAA